ATGCTAATCATTTGGTTTTGACTTTTCCGGCGAGGTTTGGCAGATTGTTGTTTTTTTTTTTCTCCTTGTTTAACATTTTTCCTGAATTATATTTAGTTACTGTTCTTGGTGCGACAAAAGATCCTATCGAGCGTTCAATTCTTTCAGCGTCTCTTTTAATTTATCATGCATTTCATGGCCTTCAAATGTTGCATTCGTCTTACCAATCAAACTTTTTAATAAACTTTTTGCCTGGTACCTCCAATCCTTGCAAACCATCCTGGTCGATTTGTTTTCATCGACGATCTCCAGTTCGCCAAGATTTTGGTATGCCTCGGTCACCTCTAAAGCGATGGTTGCAGCTTGTTTGAAGACTTCTTCCGAAGTTTCTAATTTGGGATTGTGTAGCACGCTTCGGTAAGCTTTGAGGTGAGCCTCTAGGGATTTATCATAATCCTTTTTCCAAAGAAAGAACTGCGCGCAAATTTGCCATATCTGTGGATTCGAAGTTATTCGTGATGTTATTGTCTCATTCAATAATTTTTCAACCCTCGATGCCAACCTTGTCGCGCTAGTTTTGCTGGAATCTTGAATTCCTTGAATAACCGAATTAACTATTATCCCTAGAACTTCCAGATCAACACAAGATTCTTTTTCCTCCTTCCATCGCAAATCCACCACACGTTCCATGGCCCTGATGGCTTCGGAAAATTCTCCAATGTCAATTGCTGTGTACATGTAATTTTGCCAAATCTTCCAGTTATCATAATTTTGCTTTAGACCTTGTTGAAAAGAGTTGAATGCATCGGTTTTACGATTTTGCCTAAGATACGCTGACGCCAGGTTATTCCATGCTTCGGAATTATCAGTATTGATTGAAATCACACGAGTAAAAGCTTGGGCCGCGGTTTCCCAGTCTTCAACATGCATTGCCGCACATCCCTGAATGAACCACGAGTTTTCGAATATGGGATTAATCTTGAGTGCTTTTCCGTAACATTCAATAGATTTGTGGTAATCCTTTTGTTTATACCAATAGAGACCAAGGGATCGCATCGCACGTCCATAACGATGTCCCGACATTTCCCACGCGTCTTCCCAATGTTTTGGATTCTTTTCAATGTCGCCTAATAAGCAATGCAGCTTGGGTGAATTCGGATTAGCTTTCAATTGTTCGTTGATGATCTCTCGTGCCTTTTCCTCCTTCTCAAGCATTATATAACAATTGATTACGTCTTCCCACATTTCAAGGCGTTCAAAGATCTGCAGTGCCGAGCGGATTACGCCCAAGGAAAGATATTGTATCGCAAGTTCTTTCTCCATGTCCCACTTCGAAGGAAGAAGGATCTGGTAAAAATAGGACATGCGCTCTTGGGCGCTGGAAAGTTCCAGAGGGAATTGGTCAACTAGAGCTTGCAGTTGAAGAACCGAACGTTCTATCGTTCTAGATCTTTCTTTCTCTAAGCGTGATCTTAGCAAAAGTGCCATGGTGTAGACCATCCAGTTGTTGGGATTTTCAAGGACCCTGGTCACATAAGGCACCATTTGTTCGGTGGTAATTCCGTGTGTAGGGTTTGTGTTCTTTACGTTCAAGCAAAAAGCGAGTAGAAGGCATTGATCTATTACCTTGAGGTTTCCTTGATTTCGGGGGTCTAATTCTTGATGGGCTGAAGAGCTTTCATCCGAGCTCTTGGAGAATTCAATTTTTTCTAAAAGTACGTCATCATCAAGTGGAAGAGCCTTGGGAACCTCTTTCTTTTCGGATTCCCCTTTGATCTCATCCGGGTCTTCGCTTTCAGCGCTCTTGGCAACGATTAACAGTTGCGATACATCAAAACTTTGAAACTTTGTTCTTTTACCCAACTCCCCGGTGAGTTTCCATTTCAAACCACTTGTCTTTTGAGCTTTCACAAAATGATCGATCGCAGAAGAATCCTGGTTATAATAGTGATATGCGAAACCATACTCCAGGTAAAATCTGGAGCGTAAATCTATTGAGATCTTTTCGTCCAACATCAATGTAGGAAGAATGATGTTGAAGGACTGCAAGTAATGCATTATCTTGCTGTGCAATGTTTCACTGGCATTATCAAGGATACGCTGTTGAATAAATAAGATCCTCTGGCCCCACCAGTGGGCACTCTTCAAGATGGAAAACTTTGATTCATTTTCCACCAATATGATCCTTGCAAACAACAGGTATAAAGCACGAGGAGTCAAATGATAAGCATCCTCGCCATCGATGGATAACATTTCAAGAGCTTTTTTGTTCAACTCTCCTTCGCCGTGTCGTTCGCCTATGACGTTGGGCAGAAGCTCATGAGGTTCTAGTTCAAGAATAGGACCGGTCCAATTGGACTGTACGAAAGCGTTTAAGCATGCTGCGGCAACGCAGAGTAAATTAAGTTGCCTGAGTTCCTGTAAAACATTCTCGCTTAATAGATAATGGTCAATCCTGGCCGAAATGTATGAAGAAATATCCAATGTTCCCTCTAAATGTTTTAAACATGCATCATTTTCCGATGAGTTCGTATTAAAAATTTGTTGAGCCACAGGAGATGTTAGTGCTTGTTTGTATTGGCCCATAACAATTGGCAAGATCATGTTATCTACATTGTTTCCTATTTGTGCTATTTGGTCTGGATCATTTTGCGGTGGAATGTTTAATATTAATGCCCATTCTAAATATTCGATCCGATTCCTGAATTTCTCCATTTTTACCAAAAAAAAAAAAAAAAGAAGTAATTAACTACGTATTACAATTTTGGATTTTTATTGGTCGACCAATTATTGTGCCTTGATCATGATTAGTCAAGTTGACCCTCCACAAACGGTCTAGCGTTTGCATTCAAGTATTCCTAATATAGAACGGCCGTTACAATTTATTATTTATTATTTATTATTTATTTAAAAAAAAAATAATTCCCGATATGCGGATATATGGTATTTGTATATCGCATTTACAGTATATATTCTATTCTTTATGTTTGGTATAATATCAACAACAATGTTAAACAAGGAGAAAAAAAAAAACAACAATCTGCCAAACCTCGCCGGAAAAGTCAAAACCAAATGATTAGCAT